GAGAGAGGGAACACAAGCAGGGGGAGTGGGAGAGGGAGAAGCAGGCTCCCCGCTGAGCAGGGAGCCCGATGCGGGGCTCGATCCCAGGACCCCAGGATCCCAGGATCATGACCCGAGCTGAAGGCAGATGCTTAACGACTGAGCCACCCAGGCGCCCCTGTTTTTAGTCTCTTATTGTTGGGAAGAGGACCCTAGGTTTTAAAAAATGCCGGTATTTATAGTTCCGTGTTCTGGTCCCTGTGCTGTTCTTCAACCACACAGCCTACTGTTATATTTCATTTTCATTATTGGTATTCTTAAGTATTTTTGTGCTTTGATGAATTTTGATTTTTATGACTAAAGAAAGTAAAAAAGATCAGGATCAATCTGGTCTATAACATTTTTGGGAAATGAGAATGAATGTTTATCTTAAAGCTGTATTTCAAAACCACTGCAGAAGCCAATTAATTAAAATTTGACATTTGATAAGTACAAAGACTCAGATTCTATTTTTAGACGTATTTCATTCCACCTTACTGATGACTGATTGACCGAAGCATTGTTTCTTAAACATCAAGACCAGTGCATCCAGAGGGCTGTTAGCCGAGGCACTGAGGCTGGGTCTCTAATGAGATTTAACACTGAAGCCGAACCAAGCCTCACTGGGGACCCAGAAATTGCACCGATATTCATCTGTGCCTTCTTTTCAGGATTTCATGTGGCAAGTCTTCTCAGACCAAATCGAGACAGAGAGAGTACAGTTTGACCAGCCAGAGCTGGGTAGAGGTAAGAGGTAGTTGCTGTCTTAGCCTCGTTGTTGCAACCTTTTTTCTCAGTCTCGCAAGTCTTTCAGATATTACCTTCAAAGATGAGTTTTACCGAAGTAGGTCAAACCTCTGCTTCTTACCTGCAGTGGGACCGCCCGGATGGGTGCCTTGGCTTCACCACTTCGGCACGGCTAGCTCTGTCATCTTGGGAACTTCTCTCTGTCGGTTTATTCATCCAGAGTGGGGGGACAATACTACTTTCCCTCAAAGACTCATAAAGAGGATTCAGCGTGATCATGTTAGTGAAACACTTAACCTGCTGATTAAATAAATGTCCAACTACTCCAATTTCCTAGGAATTACAAGTCATTTATGGAAAGACGTCAACTCTCAGGATTCCAATGAGGTGGAACCCAAGAGCTCTTAGGACCATCAGACTAGTCTCCATGATCATATCTGTTGTGCCTCCCATCTTCCCTTTCTCCTTTCTCCCCCGGCTCGGTGTCCCAAGATGCTGACTTTTATGGCCATAAATGGGTTCCCTGCCTTCTGGTTTCCAGATGCTTTCAGCTAGAGGGGAGCGGCAGCAGGAGACGGAAAAGAGGAGGGCGATCAGGGTGCTGATTCCTCCTGCTCCTACGGGGGTAGGCTCTGCCAAGTCTAACGGGGCTTCTTACAGGGAGATCATGTTTCCTGGTGAGGAGCCTTCTCCACACAGTCCTCTCTAATCCCAGTGCCACCAGTCACTCACTCGGTCTGCCCCTCCTGGCTGACACCCCCCTGCTGGTGCTGGGTCTGGACACTACTCTCCCTCGGAGCTGCAGTCCGACCCGCCCAGACCTTCTTACCGAATGTCTTTATTAAACACTCCTCAAATGCACGGGGCCATCTGTTTGCTGACAGACTGCCTGAAACACCAGGTGTGTACCACCAGGACTGTGTCTATGTGGGGTCTGAACAGCAGCTTTGGCGGGGGAGGAGGAAAAGAGAAAACAAGAATAATTCAAAAAGGACTTGGGAGTACCATAAATCATATGAACCAATCTTGCCCTGAATTGGCATGTACTTTGGCAGAGACAGTCAGCTGGAGCTGTCTCGGTAGGACAGAGACACAGGCTCAGTGGCACGGTCTCTCGTTTTGTGCGGGAGTAAGCTTTTTGAATAGAGCTTTATTCGGAGGAACAAGTTGCATGGTGGAACTTGGGGTTTTCTCATAATTCATAACAGGTCTTTGTCATTTTCTTCCAAATAGGGATCCAGCCATGGGTGGTATCACTTTGGTTCTTGGGATGTGATGCTTGAAATAGTGCCAGGCACATTGGGCTCTCCATACATCTACTGTGTGAATGATAATCAACTTTAAAGGGATTGTATCATAATACATTTGGTTCCTTCATTATGTAAACCATGCACTGAGCAGCATACTCTAAAATTGACCTACCTGGTATTTTGACTATTCAGAATAGTTCTTATACATGGAGCCCTAGAAACGTGGCCTTCTTTGTCTGGCTTCTCTCATTCTTCCCGGGTCCGTTCATGTTGTAGGAGGTGTTGCTGTCTCACTCCTTCTTTATGGTTGAATAATATTCCATTGTATGGCTACACATTACACAGTTGTTTTTTTTTAACGCCACATTTTGTTTATCCATTCATCAATTGATGGACATTTGAGTTGTTTCCACTTTTTGGCCATTATCAAGAATGGTCCTGTGAACATTGTATGCAACATTTTTAATTCTCTTAAGTATATACCTATGAGTAGAATTGCTGGGTCCCGTATTGACTCTTAACGTTTCAAGCAACTGCCAGACTGTTTTTCAAAATGACTGCACCATTTTACATTTCTACCAGCAAGGTATGAAGGTTTCAATAGCTCTATATCCTTGCCAACATTTGTTATTGTGGGTCATTTTCATTGTAGCTATCCTAGTGAAGTGGTATTCCATTGTGGTTTTACATTTCCCTAATGACTAATGATGTTAAGCATCTTTTCATGTGCTTATTGGCCATTTATACATCTTTCTTGGAGAATGTGTATTCTTTCTTTGCCCACTTTTAATTGGGCTATTTGTCTTTATTGTTGAATTATGAGTTCTATATATTCTGACTACAAGTCTCTTATCAGGTATATGATTTGCAAATATTTTCTCCTAGTTTGTGGGTTGTCTTTTCGTTCTTCATAGTGTTGTTCTCTGAAGTCCAGTTAATCTATTTTTTTCCATGTTGCTTATGCTTTTGGGTTTCAAATTGAAGATGCTATTTCCTTATCCAAGATCATGAAAATTTAATACTATGGTTTCTTCTAAAAGTTCTATAATTTTAGCTCTTTCATTTAGGTCTATCCTCCTCTGATTCATTTTTTGCATATGGTTTTGAGGTAGAGGTCCAACTACATTTTTTTTTTTATTAAGTAGTCTCTACCCCAAACATGTGGCTTGAACTCTCATCCCCAAGATCAAGAGTTGCAAACTCTACCGACTGAGCCAGCCAGACACCCCTCCAACTGCATTTTTAAAAAATTTTGAGAGAGAGCACATACGCGTGAGTGGGGGGAGGAGCAGAGGGAGAGGGACAAGCTGACTCTGTAGTGACCTCAAACCCTGACGCAGGGCTCGATCCCATGACTCTGAGATCATGACCTGAGCCGAAACTAAGTTGGATACTTAATCGATTGAGCCACCCAGGCGCCCCCAACTGCATTTGTTCTGATGAGGAGATCATGTCACGTGATCCCACCACCATTTGTTGAAAAGGCTATTCTTTCTCCATTCAGCTGTCTGGCATTTTGTTAACAATCAATTGAACATAAATGTAAGGATGTCTATCTGTTGGCTATGTGGGCTTCCTGCATTTCCATATGAATTTTAGGATCAGCTTGTCAATTTCTGCAAAGAATTCTCCTGAGATTTGAATAGGAATTGCAATGAATCTATAGATCATTTCCAGGAGTATTGCCATCTTAATATTAACTCTTGCACTCCATTATTATCATTATTATTTAGATCTTTTAAAATTCCTTCCATTGATGTTTTGTAGTTTTCAGTGTACAGGTCTGGCACTTATTAAATTTATTCTTAAGTATATTATTCTTTCCAATATTATTATAAATGGAATTGTCCTTAAATTCATTTTCAGGTTGTCTGTTGCTGGTGTATAGAAATACAATTGATTTTTGAATATTGATCTTATATCTTGCAACCTGGATGAATTTGTTCCTAATACTTTTTCAAGTATTTACATCTGAAGCTTTACCCTGTGTGTCTGGGGTTAATATTCAAAATATTTGAGAACATTTGTAGGTTTGAAAATATTTAAAAACTCAAAGTTACTTAACAATCCTCTTTTAATGTTTCAGAATAATAAAATAATTTAAATTCCATTGTAATTGACATCCCAATTGAAACCCAAATTATTTGGACTAAATTACTGCTTCATCCAAAACACCTGGTTGAAATGTTGCATCTTCTAGTGAAAAAAATCACATCTTTAGATTTTCCCTAAAATGAAACAAGTCTTTCTAGTTTTTACTTAGTCTGATTTATGAAAAGACATTTACCCAATTTTATAATTCTATAATGGCTGATGTCAGATTCATATTTTATATAATAACTAAATGTGGGAAGCCACAATCATGCCACTTTATTTAGCCGTAACTATTCTGGTTTTGTACTCAGATCACTGTTCAAAAACCATAAACAATCAACATTTGTTCATTTTTAAAGGTCATGAGTAGCAGCCGTAGGATTTTTTCCTCCCCAATAGAAGGGTGCTGTCGTGTAGGAAACAGGCCGTGTGAAGTGCGAACATACAGAAAAACACAGGGTAGAAGTCCTCTCGGCTCCCACGCTACTCTCCATCATCACTGCTTGTCCTTCTTGGTCACGAGATCAAATGACTTTTTTGGATGATTTCTGATCCATTCCCTGACATAACTTGAGTATCTTTTATTTGGGTTTTAAGTATATAATATTTTCTTGGCATTCAGAGATAAGCAGAAAAGCCTTAGCTTCAGGGGGCATAAAGTTCTTTAAAAAAAAAACAAAAACAAACAGAAAAGCTTCTTCAATGAATTGGAGAAAGATGCAGAAACACTTAACAGAGACTTGACATTTATTGTGCAATTTTATCTCCAACAGAACATGTGGCATTCTAGAGGTATATGAGGTAATAAAATCAATACTCCAATTAGAACACCTGAAATAACTGGCTCTAGTAACAAATGTTTCTTATAATTAAAAATATTGAATGTTTAAAAAACTCTTATAACATTTTAAGTTCCTAAAAGAAATGTGCCTAACACTTAAAAAATGACTTACTTTTCTATATAAATTGTTCACAAAAAAATCTTGCTATTCTATATTACACTATGCATTTATAGTTTTATTAACATATCCCTAGTGGGTATTAATTCTACACAGTACAATCAAATAGAAATTATTCATAGAGAATCAACAAGACTCCAACAATAAAAATATTAGGATCAATGGATCTGTCACAGTTTTTCCACAAGTGTTCATCATAGAAAATAGAGTAAAGGCAAGTTGGCCCCAGGGTTAGGCTGCTACATGAAGTTCCAGAGAGGAGAGACGGAGAGCGATGCTTACACTGGGCAGAGTCGGGCTGGACCAGTGGCCTTGAACGTTTCAGGACCCACCTCACGGTCTGGCATGCCCTGTTCCCAAGAAACACAAAAGCCAGGCCTGCGTGGCCGGGCAGGCTCTTGAACTTAAACACAGCCAAAGAGATGTTAAAGCCATCACGACAGGAAAGAATCGACAGATTACTGTATTTTCCTACAAAATCTTCACAACAGGTCTCACAGTGACATCATAAATGAAATCCCTCTCTTCCAAACCAGACTTACCAATTCTAAGGCTACAAATACAACAAATGTGAAAAAGCGAATGAAACATTAGCTAACTGATGCCCAGTGCCATTTCTAACACCTAGGAGTTCCCAAAGATTATCACTTCACTGAGTTCAAAGTTTTCTTTTATATCCCTGCATTTTTGTACAGGAAACCTATGAAACAAATGTGAACAAATTAGCAATTTTAATTTATTCACTGCTTTAGAACTTCTTCAACATAGAATCTTACGTTAAGTCAAGTCTTACGCAGCAACCCGGGCAGTTACCAGAGTAGATATGGTTTATAAGGTCCTATTTAAGCATCAACATACCTTAAAGATAGTTTTTAGTAACACAAATATCATCTTTCCCTCGATGCTATAAATTAAACAAAATCCATTCCAAAGTGTTGATGGGTTTTGACAACTCTGCGTTGACTACTGGGGAAAACTGAACTAGTCACCCTGTTTACTAAGCCCAAAGTAATCCTCTTGTTAGCGGAGCACCTCGGGCAGTGTCTTTATGGATCAACTGGGACAACAGTAACCGCCTCGGAGGGTGGCCGTGCGGATTAAAAGGAGACAATGCACTAAAGTGCTTTGCAGAGTACCTGCAAAACAAGAACTCAATGACTATCAGCTACAGTTAGTACAGTTAGTACAGGTTGTTGTGAGTGGCTTGGCGGTGTGGGCCTGAACAGTTTTCCAACGTGGCCAGCACCCACGTGGCCATTTGTACTGGGGCAATTATTCTAAAGGAGTCTTCTTAGTAGATGTATTTTCATTATAATTTGGGGAACTGTGATTCACCGAACACCTAGACCTCGTATCAGTCAGCTATAGAGGGTCACAAGGAAAGTTCATCTGGCCACCTGTAGCACAGAGATTTGGTAAATTCAGAGCTTCAGTAGGCAAACTGACCAAGCTGGTCATTAGGTACACCAAGTCCAGTCCTCTCAGTGTCTCCTGCAACTGAACACACCACGGAGGGTGAGAGTGGTCTCTCATGTGCAGACGCTGCCTGTTCTGGTTCTGCACTTTACACACGAGGAAGCTAGGACTGGTGGCTTGGTATTCTTGCACTCAGCTGTCGGCTATCAGTCCTTCACTCTCTAAAAAACACAAATGCTACTTACTGGCTGACAATGCAAGTGACTTTGCAGAGGGCCATCAGCTGGGGAGCATCTTCCTACCTTATCCCAAGGGAAGTGATTATTTTTATCCAGTACTTACACGATGGAGAGCAGCCATCACTCTGTTTACAAAAATATATCATAACGCTACATACCGCTGTTTGGACACATTTGCACTAGAGTTCTGACTCAAGCGGTCTAGCTGACATGTTTTACCAAGCAGTTACGGCAAGTGTTGCCACATTAAACATACACCAGCAAGACTTGTGCCATATGTGCAAAATCGTTTTCTATTACATTTCTAGAAATTTGTATGAGAGCGCTCAAAAATTATAGATCTGTACTGTGAAATGACATAGCACTGAATGAGAAAAGTTAGGTTTAAATCTTTTCTAAAAATAAAGTTATCCAAGAATGAGATCTTAACAAACGACTGAAATCTAAGAAAAAACTAAGGAGGTAGTTGGTGGGTATCAGGTTTAGATTCTAGAGCACAGGTTATAGGATGAAATCCAAATGAGGGCAAACATAGGTTTGCTTTTCTGAAAACCGTGCGTGTTTCATTTCACATGATGCTCCACCCATTTTCTGAGAGCAACAGGAGGGAGGGCAAGACATTAAAGGTGGTAGGAAAATGTAGAAACCACGAACCTGTAGATTCCTAAGTTTGTATTTTTGTCTAGATTTGGGGAAAACGCCTGATGTTACAGGAATAGCTACTGGACTAAAAAAAGCATTCCACACATCTGACATGTGGAGTAGTTGGACCAAATAATACCCTCTAACAATTTATACCTCTATAATCCTTATAAATCTCTTAGGTCACACACACACACACACACACACACACACACACACACGGCGGAGAACGTCATGGCCGTGCAATGCTGAGGAAGCCAGTCACCTGCCTGGGTCTTGGTTTCCTCATGTGCTAAGAGATGGCTCACATTGCTGAATACTGGGAAACAGCAGCTAGAGAAATCAGTCACCTGGAATGGGGGGACGGGAGGGAGACCAGATGTGCCTGGGGAGCTTGGGAGGCAGATCTACCCTAGTAGCCTTCTCAGGGGATGCTAATTACAGCCAAACCGAAGGTTCCCGTCGCCCTCTCTCCCAGTGGTGGTGCGAGCCCTTCATCTTTAGGCACGCCGACACACAGGGCTATGGGGACGCAGAGCAGAGATGCTCTCATCATCCCCTGCGGTCAAGACCAGCACAACACAGAGCACCACGAAGATGCTTCGATGTGAAGATGTGCTGAATTCTCAAGCTTGCAGGAAAAAGAGTTGGAAGTGTTTTTTGAACAGTGGTCAAATATTGTTGCTAAAGGGAAAAAAAAAAAAAAGGACATTGCCCTCAGCAGTAAGGATAACTAGAGCCTAATGCAAAAAAAGCAAAGGTAAGATGGAAAGACAGAGAAGGTTATGGTGATAGTTTGCATCTGGCCAAGATTTCCTGTCACCAAAGGATCTTGTAAGGCACTGACTTCTCAGACCTCTGAAAACTCCTCAAAGAATCTCTTTTTCCCTTAGATAGCCAAAGATAGTAGTCTCCTGGTTCCCCTAACCAACATCACATTTGCCCTTAACCTTTCCTTTACTTACAAATTTTAGCTAACTTGCCCAAAACAGGATTGACGTATTAGTTCTCCCCACACCACTGAACAGATCTGACAAAGGACCATCTCTATAAACATTAAACTTTTCAATGGATGAAACTAATAATCCTAACAAAAGCTAAAGACAGACCTATTTCCAGGACCGTGCATATGGTTGGTGCTAATTATCAAACATAAAGGATAATTTACTGTCACAAAAAATGGTTACAAAAACCACTCTTTATAAACGGATGCTCATAAACCTTAAATGAATTTCCAACCAATTTTCAAAACCCTTAGTCATGTCTGTAGACAACATTAATAACCTTCAATAACTTCTGCCCATTTAGCCCTATGCTCTACAAAGAAAAAAAAAAAAGAATGCAATAATCGGATTAGTGTGATAGAGGAAGCTGTTCCTGCCATCCAAACCCGAAGCCCTCAAAAACACACATACACACACACACACACACACACACACACACACACACACACGGCAACTGGTCTTAGGCCCCGGGCCTGGGAGATGCATTCGAACTGGCCGTGCAATGCATCTCCACGGTTTGTACGTAAGGAATGCTCCCAAAGACATTAGTAACTTCACAGACGGAGCTCAACCAATTAAACGGGAGAAAACCAGTGAACTTAGCTAGAGCTTGTAGTTCAAGGGAACATGGCGCGGGGGGCGGGAGGGAGGCGCGAAGCAGCAAAACAGTTGGGATGAAACATTTTCATTGGTGACAACAAGAAACAAAAGTTTATGCAAATTCTAAAGATCTACTCAGAGGAAGACCCTCACATTTCAGAGCAATTACAGACAAGCCCATTGCATAATTGTCAGCATGGCCTTGAAGCTGTATGTATCCAATTCCAGCACATCCGGTCAATTCAGTGAATACCATCAGTCACACCACTTGTTTGGTCTTCAGTGCACCAAACAACTGATTGCAACGCTCATTGCTCAACCCATCACTCTGGCATTACGTCAACAAAGTCGGAATGAAGGCTGTGGAACCTGTGGGTCTATGAACCTACCAAATCAAGCATTTAAAAAGGGTTTTGAACCTTTGGAGGTTTCTTGACTGACATAATGAAAACTTAGTTTGTAAACTCCAGAGATCATGTCATGCCTTTCTGATCAACATGCGGCGGGGGGGGGGGTGTTTCTAAAATAACTGAAAAAACCCCAGGTGATTTCCAACAAATCATTGTCTAGCAGGGACCTCTTTTCTCTGGCTTTTTCATATAGGCCTTGTCAATGTCGAGACAGCACAGTGTCACTTATCCTATTGTCTTTGCTGAAAGTATGAATTCAAGTCTTTGGAAAATATAAAGACAACTATTTAAAGAGAATGTTTGTTCGTTGTCTCTTACAATAACTCCGTGTCTCTATCTTCTCTACTCTAGCCCAGTCTTCTGTGGGGACCAGCTCTGCTCAGGAAGCAGAGCTTACGTGAAGGTTTCAGACAGGTGACCACAGCTCACCTATTGTTTTCACCCTGTCTAGCCAGGAATCAATTCAATGCAATTGTGGTTTTTTTTCTTTTTAGAATCTGAAAGCCTGTTGCAGGTTCCATAGACTTCCCCAACAACCCTACAGTGGATTTCTATTTGGGAACTGTGGCAGTAGGTCAGAGACTTAAGGTTTGAGATGTGTCAAGTCTGGCAGAAGGACGTGCTTTGGACTCTCAGGTGATGGTAACCGGACACTGACAACTGGAACCCTTGAGAGGACCAGCTGCTACAGTGTCCAGATTTTGTCCACTAATCCCCAGACCCATCCTGAGAATTTTTATTGAAGACCTCATCCTGGGAAGCCTGGTGTTCGATCCCTTCGTAAAACGAGCCGCCATTGTGCAGGAAAGTCCCCACCGCCCGCCCCTGCCGGGCGTGCCCCACAGCGTCGCTGAACACTTTGTTGATCTGCTCCTCCGAGGGCATCCACCAGTCGGGGTTGGAGGTACAGTGCATCCTAATGAATTCTGTGGGAATACACAACAATAAAAAGAGAGAGAAAAACAGCTGGTTTTTGCAGAAGATGATGGACAGGCTGCTTACACATTTACAAAAGCTCTACAAGAAAAGCTTTATGGGAAATCCAACGTGATGTTATGATGATGTCATTTCTTAGACTCAACCAATTACATGTAAGCCTTCCACTCATGTGCAAAAGTAAAAATCATGTTAAGTGAGATGATGCTCCTAAGGAACATTTGCTATTGAAATGAAAGGTAAATCTGATTTATAAGATGTACTATACATCACGCTTAGTAAAAGTTATGGCATACATTTCAAACCTACGTATCTGCTCACATTTTTAGAATGTTCACTATTTCTGGAAACAGCAAATATCATCAGTATGGTATTCTTTAACCAGCTACTAATTTGCAGATTAAATGCAATAAGAGAACAAAATCTCTATGGCTGAGAAACTGCCTGAATTTTGGTTCAGAAGAGATTTCCATGTTTTTAACATGTATTATAGGTCATACTTATTTCTCTAATTGGGATATCCACACATGTACTGACAAATATTTCTTAAGTGAGATTTCCTCTAAATATTTAATTTCACCAGAAAGCAATTAGCATGCCTGGAAGGGTGAATGTATAAAAAGGAACTAAGACTCCAATGAAACAGACTCAGCCTCCCTTTAGGTTGAGCTCACATGATCCTTTCTTCTGTTTTCTCAGGGCATCGGGACACGTACATAACTCCTACCTAGCTATTTTAATATGGACACTTGTAAAGTGAATTGAGCATTTTGGAAAAAATTCTAAGTCAAACTCTGTTATTTTTGCACAGCTGACTACAAAATAGTCCAAGGTGACTATTATTTACACACCGTTTCTTCTCCAACAGTGCTCCCTTTACAAGACAACAGGTCTGGTCGCAGGACTGGATTTGTCTGAAACGACTGCGTGAAATCCTGGCCCTATTTGCCCTCAGGAGAAGCTGATGCTCTTCGAGTATTTGGACCCCAAAAATCTCATGAATTGAACCGTGCCCTTCTCAGCAGGCAGAATCTAGCTTAGCAGAGAAGCAGGGGTATCCCCTTCGATTCTGTGCCTGAGCTGAGAGCCTCGCTAGCCTCACCGGAGTCCCAGCCCGGGCTGCCTTACTCAAGGGAAAGAACAGTGTTCATTCAGCAACTCCTCCTGCAAAACTGCCAGAATCAGATGGCTTAGCCTAGGGTGCAGGCCTGGGAAGCACTGAAGGATAACTCCCTATTCCTCTTCTGTCCCCCTCCCATCCCTACAGTAAGTTATCTAACAACTGTTGTAGTTTCCCTCTGTCTAGATCCCCTGCTCATATCAACACAAGGAAATAAAGACTAATGGATGAGGACGCTGCGACCCTGGGACCCAGAGAAGGTGCTGCTATGTGACACCCTGTCAACTTCCACTCTCTCCTCGGCATCCGCTGCTGAGACAGGACTTTCTCGGATACTGTGGTAGACTATTAAAAGCTCATTCTGTTGCACAGACAGGACGCATCTTCACAGGCCCTCTTCCCTCTAGGGTCAAACCACCTGCAGGAGCAGTCAGCCTGGAGTCTGGTTCCATTCCAAACTGTTTTCCATCACTAAGTGTCCAACGGTCTGAGGTTTCCTTGGCTGTTCTAATCTTGCTCACCCAACACGGACGGCCACCCCGGGAGTCACCAGGTCTGAGGCTTTATGAAAGGAATCCCATCTGGGTCACAGGAAGGCCCTAGGAGTTCAGCTTTTGGGACAAGCATGTAAATGTTTCGATCAGCCGCCCCTGACACAGACCATTGCCGTTTTTTGCCTCTGGATTCTCCACCCAAGGGCGGGGGCGGGGGGGTGCCGTGGCGCCAGGTGAGGCAGGAGCCGGAGGATACAGATGCTGATTAGCCCACCTGGACTGTGTCCGTGTCACAGAGGGTCGGGCAACGTTCTCAGGGCAAGGTGCGGGTGCTTTGGGAGGTATGTTAACCTCTCAGTTTCACTCACTTGCTGCTTAAAATGTGAAATGTTGAATAAGAATTTCTGGAAAGGGATACTGTTGTGAGGCCCCTTGTCCTGACTCCTCTTATGGGCCCCAGGGCAACTTCTTGGAGTACAGTGTTCCCAGGAGAGCCCCAAGCTCACAAACGCCTCTGTTACTCTTGGTGAGTAACTCTGTCAGCTCTGATGATGTTGAAGAATAAAGGAAACTATGGCTAGTTTGCTAAGACAGACCCTGGAAATTTCCATCACCCACTGTTAGTAAGTGAATCTTCAGACCGGCTGACGGGGGGTGCTCTGGCGCACCTGTGCCTAGTTGATATGGGTGTTTTCATTCCAGGTGGTTCTCTCAAGTACGGGCCACCTGCACTAGAATCACCCAGGGTGGTTGTGATGAGCAGCAATGCACGCCTCTCCCACTCCCACTCCCGACCCGCTGAATCAGAAGCTTGGGGTGAGCCCGAGGAATTTCAGCTGCTAACAAAACCTTCATGTGCCTCAGGCACACTCATGTTGCAGACTACTGTGGGCATCCCAGGAGGGGATGTTGGAGTGTCCTTTCTGTACACCAAGGCCTTATCAGTAATAGTGTCTCCTCATTGTGACTTCCTTGCCAGCAAATATTTTGATCCCTGTCCGGAGTAAATTATTAAGTTTTTCCAACCAATAAAATTACTATTGAAATACACAGGTCAATACTTGAGCTTCTTGATGTGAATTTTTCAGGTGTGAATAGTGTTCCTGTTGGCATTAGAATGCTTCTACTTGTCTAAAAGGCTGTGTTTTTATTTGCACCTGCTGAATCAACTGTATACCTCTTGATTCTTCCTTCTTATCCTCTGCCTGGCCTACCACAGTGTGGATCAGCTGCAAAGTAGTCAGCTGTTAATACTGATGAAATGGTATCATCGAAGCAATATTTTTAATATAGAGACTTTAAAAAAACTAACAGAATAAAGTCTGACTGGGCAACAGATACTTCAGGCACCCCAATATTAAGGAAAATTAACTCTAAATAAATACAAGGAGTTGGGGGCAAGTCCTCTTGAGAAGGTAGCTGGAGGGGGAAAGGGGCACAGGCTGTATATGGAAATGGGAGATCTGCCCAATTTTTAAAAAGTTCCACCCCTTCCCTTCCTCTGTGCGCTTCCCCATGCTCCAGTTTTGCTGGAGGTGGCCTTCTGTGACAGCAAAGAAAATCTGAATTTGAAGCGTGAAACATGAGGTGCTATGCGATGCTTATGGGCCATTCCGTGAGAACGCCAAGGCTAAAGCAAACGAGGAATTTTTAAAGAACTTCTCGATACCAAGTAGATGGGCCACATGAAGCCTATAGAGGTCTCATAGGGAAAAACTAAAATACAGTCAGGGCTGGACACTTGCACGGGGGAACCAGAGCCAATGCGGTGAAATGAGATCACAGATGGCGACACTGAGCGGAAGGATGCAGTACCTCGGAGGCATGTTACTTTAACTGGATCCAGAGGGCGTCTTTCAGGACCTGTCTCTCCTGACTGCACTGACCTTTTCCTTTTCCCAAGGCCGCATGAGTACTTAAGCTCATCGGTTGTGAAAACAAATCTGATGAGGTATCGAAGGAGCCGCCTCCCGTCTTTCTTGGAAGAATTTACAGCCTCGTCCCACTGTTTGCTCGTTATGTAGACAGGATAGTTGTTCAGCAGCTGCTTGCTCCCCTGCAAAAGCCAAGTATTTTCTCATTACCTACTTAGCCAGCCCGCTGGCCAGGCAGCCAGCCCACAAAGGCGATCTCCATTTCAAAGGCAAACATGCTTTTTAACCAAGTGGCTGGGCTGACAATGAACCAGGTATTGAAGAGCACAGGTAATTGCTCGCACTCAGAACGGGCACTTTTCAAATTACATTTGCATTTTCTATAACAAGAGCCAATGAGGTATAATGAACACCTTTGAAAGAGGAGCTATTTATAACTCGCATTTTAACAGGTAGGTTAAAATCTGTCAAGATCCAATGACAGGGAACACTATTTAAATATAACCCGTAACTTTCCCTTTGAATCTATTAAAATATGCAAAAATGACTTTGAAGAGTGTGATCAAACAGGTCTCTTCATCCTCTGGTTGGCGGTTAAGTATTTTTAGAAATGATGCTGGTGGTCTATTTTCGTAAGTTACTACTTGTGTTTAATTCACCTAACACCTGATAGCCATTGCATAACGGTGGAAACGGCATTACAAAGTGAATTTTAAAAGGGGGGAATTGTGAAACCCCCCCCAAAAATCATCATTAATAATAATAATGCCAACCAGGTTTCCTCAAATGATAGATTCTGCAAATGCCACATGTCAACTCAAAATTTTTCTTCCTTTTCATCTTCTTAATTTATGTCTGCTATAAAATTCCCAGGCTCAATAGCTGCAGTGGGACTAATTACAGGAATTTCTGTAACATTTATAAGCCATGTTTAGTCAATTCCACCTACACAACCATTACTTTAGTTCTGGTTGTCCATAAAATTCTACAGTCCAGGACAAATTAATTAACCCACGATCTCAGTTTTAATGTACTCCTTCCCCAGTAATTAAGGTGTACAAAATAAAGAAGGAAAAACTCATCCAGTTTTACAACTCTGCAAATTTACTACAGGTGATAAATTTGGCACCGTTTGGGGCTGATAGGGTTCTGTTTCGAACAATGTTGCTGGTGAAGCCCTGAGGAGGCAAATGGCCCAGGAGCCAACAGGGAAGAGGCAGCCAGCTTGTGCTCTGAGGCGGCCGTGGGGTCACACCCACGCAAAGTCACCACCACAGTGTTCACACTTCCTTCACCTAGCAGCATGTGACTCAGTTTCCTTCCTAAGGGAGGCAGTTGAGGCACATGGCTTGTGCTTTGAATTTACAACAGCTGGAGTTTGAGCTGGATCTTGGTTCCGGGTCTTATTTGCGTTTCTTGAGCAAGTGACTTCAACTGGTTGGACCGAAACTTCTGTGTTTATAGAACGGGGTAGAACTAAATTATCATGGGTTTAAGATGTCAGTACGTGGGGGCGGAAACCTACCCTTGGCTCTGGTGCTATCAATGATCAAAAGGCGGGCAAGAGCCCAGAGGTTCCAAAGGGCCCCTCAGCCCAGGCTGCTGTTGGACAGCAGGAGGGGAGAGTCAGGGTGTGGGGGTGTGAGGGGGTGGATGACGGGAGTCTGTGGTGGCGCAGATGGAGAAGCGAGGAGGAAGGAAGGAGAATCCAGGGGGTCAGGCGACCAATTCAGTGAGCCAGGCTGTGGGGGACTGAGGAGTCAAGGTGACCCCCAGGTGAAAGGGTGATGTCCTTCCCAAAGAGAGGAACAGATGGTCACGGCAGGGAGGAGAAGGCAGACAGCAAGGAAGAGAATTCTCCTGCCTCCCATGCACAGGGAAGGACGGGGTTGCGGGGGTTCTCATTCGTTGAGCCCTCCGTCCTCAGGGCAGCCGGTGGGCGGGGCGGGGGGGCTAGGGAAGGTGGAATCCAGGGCTGGTTGCCTCAGACCACAAACTGTGTCAAGAGTATTTCTGCGGAAGAACGTTACTAATAACTGTCACCATTTACTGAGCCAGGGACGCACAGCCTGAGGCCAGCCCCAGGCGCCTGGCAGCCCCGGCCTGTTGGCCCCCTCACAGGAGGCGCCACTGGGTGCACCTGCAGAGCTGGGCTGGGGGGGCAGGCCTGTGACCGGCCACTCGAGTCTACACAGCAGCTCTGTCAATGCAAGGAGAATAATCCCAGCTTGCATGTTTGTGGTGAGGAAGCCACGCATCTCCCCACCTGAAGACGAGCCCATGAGGGCGGCGGTTTTCAGTCGGCTTCACTTGATGCTCTACTCTCAGGGCTGAGAACAGTGTCTGACACACAGGAGGTGCAACAAACATTTGTCGAACGACCACTGCAGTAGACACTCGCGTGGCCGGCACGAAGCACACACTCAGTGACGGTGGCTACAGCCAAGAGTTCTTTTTTCTTTCTCTCTCTCTTTTTTTTTAAACTGCTATGGCCCTGGGACATTTGGAGACTTCTGATGAGTATTAACTGGCAAAGTTAAAGAACTTCAAGGAGAGCAACAAAGACAAGGGACCATTACAAAAGGGGTACTAGGGACAGAGGGCTTCTGCCAAATCCTTAATTTAAGACCATCCTCTCAGTTATGGTTCTTGTAAGTCCACCTGTCAGCCTTAGAAAAGGGGACTGAACAGCTGGTAAACCTTCCATTTAATGTTGTGCAAGTAATTTTTAAGATTTTATTTGAGAGAGAGAGAGAGAGTGTGCACAAGCAGGGGGAGGGGCAGAGGGAGAGGGAGAAGCAGACTCCCCACTGAGCAGGGAGCCTGCCTCGCTTCGGGGCTCCATCCCAGGGCTCCAGGATCAAGACCTGAGCTGAAGGCAGACGCTTAACCAAAAGAGCCACCCAGGCGCCCCTAATGTGCAAGTTTTAAAAACAGATTTCCCTTGGGTGTCTGGGCTCATGGGGCAAGCCAGGATTCCCACAGCAGTTTGGCCAAGGATGTTAAATCCTTTTCCAAGGTCTCACAAGGCAAAAGCAGAGCTGGGAACCTGGTCCCTGACTTCAGAGCTTGCCCCCAAACCAGAGTTGAGTCTGTTTCAAGATAAGAGGTGCCTGAGATGAGGGAGCTCATAGCCCAAGGAAGAAGCTTTCTCAAATCCTTAAAAAGAATCCACTTATACAGAAGAGCTCAATAGCTCTCCATAAAATGAAGCTCTCCCTAAGTGTAGAAATACCATTTGGAGGTAATTTTCTTCAAGAAAAAGGAAAAGAAAGAAGAAAGTCATTCTCAGCCCCAAACAACTCAAATGCTTCCTATGTTATGGATGAGATTTACCACACTATTTTAGCATAGTTAATAGAAATAAAAAGTGATCAATAATACTAATGAGAAAATGCCCATGTGCCTGAAATGATAGTAAAAATAGCATAATAATGATGATGATGGGTAATAAAAGTTTAAATATTTCTATCCAGAGGAAATGTAGATATGTCCCCTATTTTTATGTTTTTATAGAATTCTGATTGCATATTCTCTTCAATTAGCCACTAACGGGTTATTAAACTCTGATCTATGAGTCACTTTGAAAAAAACAAAACGAACCACCCTCATTTAATGTATTCACAGACTCACAAACAAATGGAAGACCTATGTATGCATTAATATTTAAGTAACTTCTGAATTACTCTTATTAGGAACAATGTGTTCTGTCAGCACAGAGAGGATGTGGCAATCGGGGAAAGCTTCTTGGAGGAAGTAGGCCTTTTGGAAGTGCTTTTTTGGTACAATAGAAACGTCAAGTTCAGAAATGTGGACCCTGTTCTAGGGAGCAATGAAAGGATTTTAAACATGTGACATTCCTTTTGGATCTGTAGTTTAGAAAATTAACATTCCAGTGTGGAGAAAAGAGAAGAATCCCTCCTAACAGTCCAGGTACAAAGTGTGAGGAAGGAGGTAGAGAGAAGAGAGACTACTCAAGGTGGCTGTAAAACAAGCAGATGTCAGGAACGAGGAAGAGGGAGGAGTCCGTGATGCCTCAGAAATTTCTGCCCGGGGTTGGGAGAGAAAACTGGGGTAGGGCTGGGCATTCAGAGGCCATGGCGTGAGTTCGAGGGTGCAAGGGCATCCCACTGTTGGTCAGGCGGTTGGACAGAGCGGCTGGGAGTTGGGGACTGGTAGCCCAGATCCCGATTTGGGACTTGTTAATCTGCACGTAGCTGGTGTTCAGAGAAAGAACATAACTGGGCAGAGAAGGGCAGTGGACGGCGAGGGAAGGGGATGAAGGGTGGCACTCTGGACAACAGTGGATGCAAAACTCCTTACAGCACAAGAAAAGGACGGGGAAAAGGAGAAGAGTCCTGACACTGAGGCCAAGAGAGAGCATGGAGGAGGAGAGTGGGGTCCTGGGGAGGACAAGGGCCGGAGGAAGGGCCCCCGCACTGCACAGCCGGGGAAGTCACCAGGACCACTCGCAGAGGACTCTGGGAAGCAGTCAAGGTGCAGCCGGATTACGGGGGGTGGAAGAGCAAGTGGAAACTAAGACTGGAGTAACAGACCAGTCTTTCAAGTGTTCAATCCCTAAGAAAAACGAGGTCACTATTCTGTAAGTGCCTTTGACAACAGGCACTGGGGACACACGTGGGATGAGACCTGCGTCCCTACTTCACGGAGCCAGATGCATCGTGGGGCCGAGTGAAGTGCTGACAGAGGCTATGCTGGGGGATGGAAGGAGAAAGAGAAGACGATGATGGAGGGACGGAGGGAGCACCAAAGCAGGCCTGCTTTCAGGGTGGGAAGACTGGAGTGTGTCTGACCCAGTAACCCGGTGCACAAGACTAGGAATGACCGATGGCTCGGCGTTCTGGGTGGGGGGCAGTGGAGGTGGAAGGACAGATGTGGGTGGGTGGCATGGCTTCCTGGGTGGGGGCACCAGGTGTGCAGGAAGATAGACATCAGTGCGGCGGAATTCACTGGATTGAGTTCAACTTGGTATCACTTACTTTTTTGCTGAATTCAAGAGGGAGGGTGGTGGGACCAGGGATGGGGGCTGGAGGAAAAGAGCAGAGATCCCTGAAGTAGCTTCTCCAAACTTCAGGTGAACGGAGTCACCACCTCACCCGGAGGTGAGAGAGCTTCAGTGTGCACCAGACTGATGGCACCAGACTGATGGCACCTTTTCCATCCTCTGGCCTCTCTTATGTGCAGAAACGTGGAAAGGAGCGTGTTCTCTTATTTCTTCAGCTGCGAGGCATGGGCTCAGGGTGGGAAGAGCAGGTGTGCAGCTGGATCTATGAAATGGTACGCACTAGGATGGAGCCTTGAGATGATTTTAACTAGGCACAGGGAGCGTCGTAGGATGTGTGATGACGAGATGAGAGAGAGGGTCAATGGCCTGCCATCACCAGCATGAACAACTCACCCTGCCAAGTGCAAGAAGCTTAACTATGTGAAAAGAACTCATCTACTGTTATCAATGCAAGATGTTTCTAACCCCAGCAATTGCTTCTTCCACTGGATTTAGGTTCTGAAGTCCATAAGATAAAAGTAACACATATTCAAAACTGAGCCTTGAGAATCTTGTAAAAATGTGCCATGTTTCCACTGACCTACCATTCCCAGCAGAACAGACCATCTCTCCTGCACTTTGGAAGAGACTGTGGTTGCTTCTTATTGAGGTCCACAGGAAGAAACGTTCTGGAGCCCCAGTGTCTGGAAGACATCCATCTAACACAGTGTGGGAGGTGCCTGAGAGCAAGGGGCTTTCTGGAACCCTGGCTCTGCTAGAGAAGGGCAGGTTGGTGCCTCTATTTCAGCCCCTCCCGTGAAAGAATGCCGCCAGACTGGCCTCCACCATTTGAACTGCTGTTTCTTTGTCTCCCCCTCTCGGCGCACAGCGTTGGATCCTGGTGAGTTTGGGTACGTGCACCCTCTTCCTCCACGGTGTATACACGCACAGGATATAAGAGCCACAAACCTCAGGGAGTCAAAGCTGTGTCCTGCTAGCCAATGTGCTCGGGGGCATCTGCATACGCTATCAAGAAGCTTCATCTCAAAGAAATTCCAAACGGAACCACATCTACCTTCTTGCTAGAAACCCACCTCGGCTGGCTGGTCGGCGGGCTGAGGGGCCAGGAGCTGGTTGTGATGCCGCAGCAGGGTCTTCAGGTAATCTAAGACGGTCTGGCAGGGCACTGTGTGCAAGAGATGACAAGGAGTACACATTAGCTATCCCGGGACAAGCAAACGAAAAGCTTTAAGGTTTAAAAAGTTTTGATGTAAACTTCTAAAAGACTTATTTTCTAAAGGAAATAGAATCTTCTTTCTTTTGACATCCGTAGCTATTTCAGTTTGTAAATACAGAACAGATGCTAGCTACAGTTTGGGGAGAATTCTTAGGGCTCAGCACAATTCACTGAAAACTTTCCAGTCATACTCACTCTAAGATGAATTTGGGTCAACAATAAGGATCAGTGAACCACTCACAGAAGAGACGTTTTCTTGTTTTCTGTGACTCAAGTTGTAACATTAGCACCCAATGATGCTTTTTAAAATCAAGGTACTGCAAACTAATGTTTCACCAGTTTTAAATCAATAATATAATGCTCGTTTTTAATGACAGATTCACTCCTAAGTTCTGCAGTAAGCAGGAATGCCATGCAACATAAACCTGCTTCCCAACGTGGATACACCTGCCCAGAGTTCTTACCGAGCCGGCCCAGCGCAGATTTGGTTACTGTGTCTTCCGTTAACTGTCGCACTAATTTTCTGAGGCTTAATCTCATAGATTCATTGAATAATTACAATAAAACTGAACAGATATTAACCCAACATGGAGCCTTGACAGTTTTGTACCACTGCATAAATAATTCCTTCATCTTAAGATTTGTATTAGACTCCTTTCAGGGGTAGTATTAACTAATTGCTTTTAAAGGTCTTGGTAGCTTAGTTAATAACCTAATTTATAGGAATTATTGCCACTATCTGTCTCAGCTGTGGATTTTCTTAGGCTGTTTTTGTCACATTAAAGACAATAATAAATATTTAACCTAAACTCCAAATTTAAAGTATCACTGCCTACCTTCTGCAATTTTTCTCACTTTTTTTTTTTTTTAAAGATAGCAAACAGGAGTTACCATCTTTATCCACACTGCTAAAAGCTTTGGATTTTTTAGGTGACATCACATTGTAACATAACAAATCAAAATGTACATCAACATCCTTTTGAAGAATATGAATGATAGCAAGTAGAAGTAGCTTAGGAATTTTTTCTTCTTGCCAAAAAAAATATTTTCTTAAATAACCATCCTTCTGGACCTGCTCTTACAGTCCTTGAATACGGTCTTCAAATTGGAGAAGCATCTGCTGAACAACCACAAAGTCAATGAAAAGAAGACATACATGTATCAGTTTGGAGTAGGCCTTTTGTCAAACCAAAGTTCAATAAAACCTGTCAAGTACCTCTAATTTCACCAGCCCTTCCCTGGCACATTGCTAGCCCTGATCCTCACAAGGCAGAGGCCTCCAGACCCCCACCCAGCCCAGGGCTGGAGCATGTCCCTGCAATGACAGATTTGGAACGTCACTCCCTACTGGGGCTGTCTGGAGGGTTGCCTAGATTTATACATGGGAAGCTGTACAATCAAATGAAACACTTTTGGTGAAAAAAAAAAATTAAGTCAGTGTGGAAAGTAGAGATAGTGGTGTCTATTCAAGAGGGAAGAAAGTGGAAGGAAAGGTAGTATCCCGACCCAGAGCTACACCATGCTGCCTTCTGGGAGAAGCACTGGGCACTGAGAAGAAAATCACGGAAAACCTGCTGTTCTCTTGCTCTGCTGTCCTATCAACCTACGGTTCTGTGGAAGCACTGTGGACTTTCCCAGTGAACACATGGGGCCCTCGGAGACGAGGAGCAAGGGGCCTGTGTTTCCTGCAAGATTCTTGCAGTCCAGGGCAGACACTGCTCCTTTGGCTTCCAAGGGATGAGAGAGTGAGGTCAGGGCTTCCAGCAAAAGAGCAGCGGGATCCTCAAGGAGCTGATTATGCCCCAGATGCATTCACATCTAATTGCCTCCTCACGCACATTCTGAATATTAAGCAAGTCACTCTTGCTGATGGAGAAGCTATCACCTCAGACCCACTGGGCGGGTTGCATTTGTTCACGTATGCAGAGATAGGAAAGGCAGATACACCTAGCAGGTTTAATGAGACTATACCTGAGGAGCCAAAAACCGTAAAAACTTCTATTAAAGGGAAGGGAGAACAGAAAGGTACCCCAAATGTCCCTAGTATCTATCCTGATATCAATAATTATAATTTCCGCCCCCTCCCCACCATATAATAGCATTTTAGAATGCATACCAGAGAATCCTGGAAAGAGTAGAGTAACTGGGAGTAAAAAAGCAAGTTAGTAAGATCTTTCGTGTCAATAAAGCCTGAGAGAAATGGTTTACAAATGCTCCACTGGGTATCTAAGACATCTAGACGAATGTATGACTCTTGAAACCAGACAGGTCCCCCAGCCTGGACAGCTTGATGTTGTCATGGTCAGGGTTAAGTTCATTAAATCCACAGACAGGGTCTTCGACACATTCTCAGACAGTACTAGTAAATATCAATTAGCTGACAAAAAGACGTGGAAATGGGTCCTAAAATAATTCTTGGGTACTTTTTTCTCCTTTGTGTACTTCCCCTGGCACTAGGAACCGTTTGATTCTAGGCAAGTTACTTAACCTCTCTTAGCCTCTGTTATCTCATCTGTAAAACAGGGATAATTACCTACTGCATATAGTGTGAAGTAATACCTGTAAAGCTGAAAGCAGCCAGTAAATACTGCCCAATGTAAGCTAGTCTCATTTTATGACTAGGAGCCTAGTGAATTCCTTGGAGGTCACTTAACTGACTTGGTTGTTGCAACTAGTAAGTAAGGTTCTTCCCAGGAAAAAACTGCTCCAATTCCGTGTTTTTCCCACATTAGGGATGCCTGGGTCTTGAGTACCTAATTTTCACTGCAGATCATTACGTTAACATCTTGATCAGTTTCTCTAGCATTAATTATTCTACTTTGCTGTATCATTGTTTTTAAAGACTCACAAAATACAACACCTAGGATTTTAGAAGGAGACGGAAATGATTTACCGCCCCGATGACCATGCCATCTGTGCGCTTGTCTCATCTTTAAGGGTCCTTTTCACGCCGTGTCTGTAAAGTCTAAGCTCCTGACTGTAAATACGTGGAGACAAACGATAAGCTTCCAGTAGGGCTCAGCCTTATGGAGGCACGGTTATGCTTCTGATTAGGACACTGTCCTGTCTCCGTGTAATTTCACTGACAATTGGGAGATGCCACAGCATGCCTGACACTGGGCTCGGATTTGGGACACACATGTGACGTTGGCTTCATCTCTGTCCTCAAGGAGCTTCCATGGCTACATGACCTGCCTCTCCTCCTATCAGGACACCCGGGAGAGATGGAAAAAGTACAAACAAATACACACATAAAAACCTCCCGATACTGACTTTCACAGAAGTATGCATGATGTACAATGGAAAGTGGTGAATTCTGCCCGGGAACTGGGGGAAGAGTTTGTTACAGAGGCGGGTGTCTCCTGAACTGGGTCCTGAAGGATGAGTAGGAGTTTTTCAAGTCGGGAGAAGGAGAATATGTTCTTGAATGGGGAGGAAGAGCAGGAGTAAGGGAAGACCAGAAGCCAGTGTCAGGCTGCTCAGGAATCACCAATTGTCCACTGGGGTTGGAACACTTGGTATATGGTGGGAACTGGGAGTCGAGTCTCCAAAAGCGAACAGGAAAAGATTGAGGTAGCACAGGACCCCATGTCTCATAATGAGTGCTGGAACTTACAGACCATGTGAATGAAGCCTTTAGAGGTTTGTCAGCAGCAGATGGTCTGCGGCTTTTCTGCGGGGAGAAGCTGGAATCTGGGAGGAGGTGAGTGGCTATGCAAGCGTCCATGCTGAGATAGGCCCGGATGAAAACAGTGGGGAGAGGAGGAACCCAAAGTGACGGGCATCTGAGAGGTGGAGTCCAGAAGGAGGCTGACATGACGTTAAGCGTTATGGCTAGATCTGAGGTTGCTAACCTGGGTACCTGACTGCGTTCTGACCTCTTTACACGGTAAGACTACTACTTATCTAAGAAAACCACTTGAGATTTCTGTATTACTGGGCGCAGGACAGTTTCCCTCTCTCTGTCCCTGAACGTTGCTATTTATTGAGCACTTACTGGCAGACCTGGGAGGCACTCAGTTGCGAGTTAGTGAACATAACACTTCCAACATTCCAACAGTATCATTAACCTCACTGTACAGAAAGAAGAAACTGAGGCTCAGAATGGTTAAGTGACCTTCCAAAAACCACAGGTAGTAGCAAATAGCAGAAATCCAAAACCACGTTTGACTCCAAACCCATCCTCTTTCACCACACACAGAGCAATGTCTCCCTCAATCTCACAGCCATAGCAAGAGTTGTGATGACTTTTACCAATTTCTAATAAAAAGAGCTCAATCCTGTACTCCTTTGTTCTTATCATTTGCTCCAAGTTCTTACTCAGAATATATTCATGGGTCTTCCTCCTCCTTAGAGTCCCCACACTACATGTGGTCCTTATGCTTCTGAGGACCCGAAGCCATTCTGAATGTTTCTCCACAGGCACTGTGGGCGTGGGTGAGCAGGGGGCTGGAGAGAGGGCCCCAGCACGGCTACACCGCACTCACTCCAAGGGCTCTTAGCTGTTGCAAAATTAGTTATCCAAAAACCTGACATTCCTGATTATCCTTTAAAAATCTTCTTAGGAAATGACAACTGTGGACTAATAGGGTCAGAGCTGCATAATCCAAGGTGAGTTTTCTGGTTTGTACCCTCGAGTTAGTACAGTCGATCCTCATTACTTGCAGATTCCACGTTTTCCAATTTGCCAACTTGCTAACATGTATTTGTAACTGTCATGCCCACGTGTGTGAGGCTCTGGCAGGCATCTGTGGGCTTCTGCGGGTCACTGAAAACCCCAGTGGCCCGATGCACATGCTCCCCAGCTGAGGCTGAACAAGGGAACGCTCTGCCTGCTTGTTTCAGCTCTTGCACCGCAGCAAATGTTCTTTCCATGTGCCACGTTCTTCACATTTATGTCCTTTTTGTTGGCGATTTCGCTGTTTAAAAGGGACCCCGAATGCAGAGCT